CACCAATGACGCACCACCGCCGCGCAGTATGCACCACTGATGCACCAATGACGCACCACCGCCGCGCAGTATGCACTACTGATGTACCAATGACGCACCTCCGCCGCGCAGTATGCACCACTGATGAACCAATGACGCACCACCGCCGCGCAGTATGCACACTGACGAACCAATAACGCACCACCGCCGCGCAGTATGCACCACTGATGTATCAATGGCGCACCACCGCGCAGTATGCACCACTGCCCCAGCAGGCATCTGACGTTGAAACAACGTTGATCATTGGTTGATTTCGGGTTGAAATTTTGAACAACCAAAATTAAACGTCATATCAACGTCGAAATCTGACCAACACTAGAAGGGTCGTAAAACAACCTAATTTCAACGTTGAAACAACGTCGATATTGTTACGTTGAATATTTATTCATTTTCAAAGGTCCGATCAACGCCGAAATCTGACCAAAACTAGAACGGACGTAAAACAACCTTATTCCAACGTTGAAACAACGTCGATATTGGTACGTTGAATGTTTGTTTATTGTTAAACGTCCGATCAACGTCGAAATCTGACCAAAGCTAGAACGGACGTAAAACAAACTTATTTCAACTTTGAAAAATGGTCGATATCGGTACGTTGAATGTTTAGCTATTTATCAGCATGGAACTAATGTTATCATACCAATGACGCACCACCGCCGCGCAGTATGCACCACTGATGCACCAATGACGCACCACCGCCGCGCAGTATGCACCACTGAAGTGTCTTCTATCTTCTTTCTTTATCTTCTGAGGTTTGTTAAGCGTTCAATATCACCGTCGCGTGCTCTATGTTCTATGAAGTGTCGTCTATCTTCTTCCTTTATCTTCTGAGGTTATTAAGCGCTGAACAGGAGATTTCGATGAGAATCTAATTGTGTCTGGAGCATAAGAATTAGAAATTATGCATCGCAGCATAAGAATATACGTTACTTCCTCGTAACGTAAAGTCATCTTTATATAAAGTTACCTACGCTTTTGCATAATTAATAGCCGCCTATTATTTTGAGCAAATCCTATAAATAATATACAGTGATATCTTCTGCACCAGTCGTAGAAAACTAATTTATTATATGTGGTTTTCTACTTCATTAAGAAGCTTATTCTTAATTCCCTCAAACTAATTTCTGATTTACATGAATGCGTTCACGAAATGCTTCTTAAATAACAAACAAATTTAACTTCCTTATTATTTCTGCAGGTCCTGACGCTGGCCGGCAGTGAGGTGGTCACAAATACCTACGCTGATGGGCGGACTGTGAGTTGCATTGTAATTAGGGTAGGTGACTTAATGCCACTTACTTAACTGGCAATAATCACGGTTTTAAAGTTTATTTCGATTTATTTCGAATTCTCCTTGAAATTCTTTGTATTATCAGCCGCGTGAGACATTCAGAGATTGGCATTGATTTCCAATTTCATTGTATTCATCGGATGAAGAAGTTTGTTGCAAAAACATTCGATGGTAATATACTTGTCACGAGTCATATTATGTCATTATTTGGGTTTCAAACTTGACATGATCCAGTGAAATTTGTTCAATATAATATAAATTTGCAGCCTTCCATAGTAAGCATTTAAACCTTGTTCATGAAAAACAATTATTTTCGAGTGTTGAGCTTAAGAGCAGTTAGAGTGCGGCCTATTCTAACAGACAAGTTCCTGGTCATCAGTCCAACTCGTCCTCAGGGTGTGGTGGTGATGCCTAGGCTGGCGTCTCAGGCCTCCGACCCTCCGATGCAAGGCGTGCACATGAGGCTCAGCTCTTCTTCTTCAGCTCGTCCACCGAGATCCGACATTCAACGCCCGTCTTCATCAGCAAACGCTCATCCCCTGAGTGTGGTGACATCCTCTTCTTCCAGTGCAAGTAACTCTCATGTGATGCAAGCGAATTCATACAGAATCCACCAGCCTCTCCAACATTTTTTTGATGAAAAGAATACAAAAACTCATTTTGAGCCCCTAGAAGTTCCATTTGGAAACTATTCTGTTAAGCAAAAGGTTAAGAAAAATCGGTTCACTTCTGACGAACTTAAAGATAGACGTTATCGGCGTAATACCTCCCAATCAACATCTGGAAACAACAGTGAGATAATCAAAACTTTTCAACTTTTAGATGACGGGGAAGAAAAAATCCAGTTAAGTGAACGATACAAGAATATAACCTTAGTGTTAGGGAATACTGGAGCCGGCAAGAGTACATTTCTTCAGTGGTTCGCTGGGGACAATGACAAGTTGGTAGCAAAACAAGAATATGGGACAAGTGGAGCGTATCTCATTGAGGATGGCAATAGAATCGGCAACACGACTTTAAAATCGATGACAATTTTCCCAGAGTTAGTGGTTCACCCTGGAACAGATGATGCGTACTATGATTGCCCTGGATTTAGTGATACAAGGAGTACCAGTATGGAAATAGCAACAACCTACTTCAATAAAAAAGTAGCAGATTATGCTCAGCATGTTAAATTGATTTTTGTTGTTAATCATTCATCGGTTAGAAGAGGAGTCGATAGACAAGATTTCTTAAAATTACTTAGACATGTTACAGATTTTTTAACAGACATTGATAAATATCGACAAAGTATTGCCATTGTAGTGACAAAAATCGATCCTAATTATGTAAAAGTAAACGGGACCCTGACTTTAGATTCAGATGAGTCAGTTATACACACCATTGGCAATTTTTTCAAGGAGTTCAAGAAGTCGCTGGAGGAGCGATTAGCCGATGCAAGAGTTTCTGGCGAAGGAAAAAAATTTTATGAGCAAGCATTGAAGTTTTTGGACACTTTGTTAATCATGGAAAATGAACAATTTTTGAGGATAGGCATATTTAGAAGGCCAGATGAACCTGGACCTCTAAGTAATATAATGCTTTTACAAGAGGGAAAAGAGCATATAGAGAAAATAGTGAATGAAAACCTTGCGTTCACAGCAACCAATGATAGTGATTTCGGGTATACCATATCTGATACGTCTAAGGTTGCTGTAGATGTTCTGGCAGAAGGAATCAATGACAAGGTGTCGGCTAATCTACTCATTATCTCAGAAAATATGCTGAAATATTACAGAAATTTAGTGGAAGAGATACGCAGCAAGATAAGCTCTTTTACTAACACTACTGGAGCTGTTGATGCAAATCCATCTGAGGCTCGGGCGTTTAATGATTCTTTCAATTCTGGATATACCGGTATGACTAACCTAATGGGAGAAGTTGCTAATGTAACAACAGACCAGTTGGCTGAAAAGATCAAGAAGAGGCTCACAGTTTCAGGTATGAATGGCTGTGAGGAGGCCATGTTAAGTATTGAGCAGCAAGGTAAGCATTTTGCATTCTTGCAGGTTGTGGCGGACAACGTACTAGGGACTAGGGCATGGAATGCCTTGTTACAACCCGTTGTAACCTACCTCTCTGACTCTAAACATGCTGTTCTGCAGGATATTAATGATGATGCAAAGAAAATTATCGATAATATATGGTCTAGTCTTGCCACTATCGCGAAAAACATGCAAGAGTATTACAAAAATTCAACAGGCAGAATGCGCAGTAAAATACGCTCTTTTTCAAACGCTGCCGTGAGGGTTAATGCAAATCGATCGGAGGCTCGAAGATTTTTAAATCAGTTTAACGCTGGAAATAACCGTACTACACGGCTAATGCAAGAAATTGATAATATAACTATAGCCAAATTGGTAAAAACGATTAACAAAAGTCATACTGCTTTAGGTATAAATGGGTTTAATGAAGCAATGCAAAGTATTTCGCAGCAAGGGAAATATTTTGAATTTCTGAAAGTTATGCATGTTAACCTGATAGACACCAGGGCATGGGGCAACTTTTTGCAGCCCGTTTTAACCTTCTTCTCTGTTTCTAAGCATGCTATCCAACAGGATATTGATGACGCTGCAAAGAAAATTAACGATAATGTATGGTTTAGTCTACGCAGTATCTTAGAAATCATAAAGAAAAATTACAGCAATTCAGTAGAAAGGATGCGTAATAAGATACGCTCTTTTCCTGCCACTACTGGGGCTGTTGATGCAAATACATCGGAAGCTCGAATGTTTGTAAATTCTATCAATGCTGTATTTGACCGTACGACCAAACTTATTGAAGAAATTGTCAATATAACAACAGACCAGCTGGGGCGGAAGGTTAACAAAAGCTTTAATACCCTCAGTATTGATGGGTATGCTGAGGCTATGCAAAGTATTTCGCAGCAGGGACAATATTTTGCATTTTTGCAGGTCGTGAGTGATGGCGCATTAGGTTCTAGGACTTGGGGTGACTTGTTGCAACCTGTTGCTTCCGATCTCTCACACTTAAGACATGAAATTCAGCGCGATATTAATGATGTTGCAGAAGACATCAATGATCAAGTACTATCTAATGTAAATAATATCGCAGCAAAAATTAAGGTATATTACCAAAGTAAAATGCGTTCCATGATAATTCAGCAATTACCTGCTGAAATAAACTTTGGACATGTTCTCATCATGAACATGACGAGAAAGATGGAACGTTCAAATACAATACAAGATTTGTCAAGAATACTACGACAGGTTATATCAGGTGATGATACCTTCAAAATCAGCAGAAACACAAACAATGTTTTTAGACACGGAAAGTACTCAACTTTCTTACAAATTATAAGCAATGAAACGCTAGATACCCCATCACCATCTCAATTAATAACTCCACTCAAAGAAACAGCAACATACCTCAAGGAATCACAAGGATGGTACGAATTCTTGATAAATTTGTATGAAAAGTTCTCTACTTATGACGTAGTGAAAAATAGAAGGAAATACAACGTAGCCAATATTGCGGACTGGGGACAAGATGATAAACAACAGGGAATATCAATAACTAGACATAACTTCGAACAATTTATGAAAAATCTAAAATCATTTAATGTGATGGGATATAATAAGATAAAGAACGTAGCGGCTGATGATATACGCGTGGATGAATTAAGACAAATGGCGAGTCTGACGCTAGACAGCAGATTAGAAGCCTTTTGTCAATCAATTAAACTCACTGTGAAAGGTGACTACATTAAATTTAGTGAAGTAATTGTGGAAATTGGGAAGTGCAAACGAAACACAACAGAAATATTTGCTTTGAATAAAATTTTTATTGACGAAAACTTAAATAAAGTAGGGGAACAGCATAAGCTCGTAATGATAGCCCCGACATGGGAGGTAATAGGTCGTAGAACAATAAACTTGAGTGGGGCTGACGCTCCGCCACATAATCCACGTAAGGCAAGTGACGGCAGGAGTGACGGGAGGCGGGGAGCTGACGGTAGGCCTGGCTTGCCTGGAGGACCAGCTGGGAGTTTCTTTGGCGTAGGCACAACATTCTTGAATGGAAATATGTTGAATATTGTGGCTAATGGTGGGAATGGTGGTGATGGTCAGGATGGTGGGGGTGGTAGTCCTGGTAGCGACGGTGATTCTCCTAAACGCGATCCGCAATACTATGAAGATACTTATTGGTGCTCAGAGATCTGTGTTGATGGCCGAGCGGTAGATTCTTTCGACTGTAAAGAGCATGGGTATCAGACAAGAACATGGGTATCAAACTATATGAGCCATTTTAAAACCATTCCTATATATTTAAACTCTAATTCCAAGCTTTGGTCGTTCCTTAGCTTTAACCCAAGTCATGATTATTTTACGATGACTATTTTTGGCAAAAACGGCGCACGAGGTGGAGCTGGTGGGGATGGTGGACGAAATGGTTACGGGGGTAAATCAGGAGATATAAAGTTAATTACGCTGGGTAACGATTCAGGGATATTAAGTATTAATAACAATGGAAGAGATGGAACATTAATGGGCAAAGGTGGTGAAGGAGGAGCTGGTGGCTTGCAAGGACTTTCCATTATTGTCATATGCTCTAGTCCCTATAAGGTCCATATTTTAGAAGGAGAGCGCGTATACGCTCAATCTGGAAATGGAGGAAGGGTTGGAGCCAATGGAGCAAACATCCAGAACCCAGGCCCAGCAGCCATCATTGAAAACAAATCTAAGATTATCAACCATTATAAAAGTTATGTGAGAGAAAACTTAAAAGTTGATGTTGGTGGCCGCATTAGGAAAAACGACCTCATAAAAATTACCCGTGAACTGGACACTAATAGAGATATTAAACGCATGTATGATACGTCAGGATTATTAGGGGAGCACCGAGGCTTAGAGAGACAGTATCATCTGTTAGAAAAAAGAGATTCCGTAGTTTTTTATCAATCATTACTAGATAGGATTAATGAATATGCAAATAATCCAGAAGCTAACCAAAGATCCATGGAGCACAATAAGACCCTCGCTTATATGTATACAGCTGTCTTGAGCAAGTTATATGATTTAAAAAGTGATTCAGATGCTACATTGATCATAGATATAAACGGGTACCTTGATATAGTGATGGCCAATATCAATAATTGTATTCAATTAACGGAAAAATATGAAATGGTTAACACAATAAATGATTATAAGAATCAATATAAAGGCAATATAAGTTTAAAAATTGAGGAATCTGAGCGTTTCATCGACGAGGAGATTACACCGGCCATTGATCAAATACATGCGCAAATAGATGATAAAATAGAGCATCTTCTGAATGAAACAAAAGAACTGCAAAGAGAGACTGAAGACAAGAGGGTTGAGTTGCTCAAGAAAAAGAAGGAATTGGAACAAGCAATGGTCTTTAGAGGGTTTTTTAGTTTTTTCAAAATTGTAGGGCAAGCATTAAGTTTTTTAGCAACTGCAGGAGCGGCGGCAGGTGCGTGCATTGGAGCCGCAAGTTCCGTAACGGAAGCTTTCGTTTTAGACGACCAGACCGCACAGCAGCGACCTCTA